GGTCACTGTACCCTCAGGTCTTCTTTCTATCTGAATTTCTCAGATGAGGTGTTCTTACTATTATACATTGATTCATTCAGACCAGTTTCCTCATCTTTGTTGTCTTTATTATAACATTTTGGTCACTGTAACCTCTGGTCTTCTTTCTATCTGAATTTCTCAGATGAGGTGTTCTTACTATTATACATTGATTCATTCAGACCAGTTTCCTCATCTTTGTTGTCTTTATTATAACATTTTGGTCACTGTAACCCTCAGGTCTTCTTTCTATCTGAATTTCTCAGATGAGGTGTTCTTACTATTATACATTGATTCATTCAGACCAGTTTCCTCATCTTTGTTGTCTTTATTATAACATTTTGGTCACTGTACCCTCAGGTCTTCTTTCTATCTGAATTTCTCAGATGAGGTGTTCTTACTATTATACATTGATTCATTCAGACCAGTTTCCTCATCTTTGTTGTCTTTATTATAACATTTTGGTCACTGTACCTCTGGTCTTCTTTCTATCTGAATTTCTCAGATGAGGTGTTCTTACTATTATACATTGATTCATTCAGACCAGTTTCCTCATCTTTTTGTTGTCTTTATTATAACATTTTGGTCACTGTACCCTCAGGTCTTCTTTCTATCTGAATTTCTCAGATGAGGTGTTCTTACTATTATACATTGATTCATTCAGACCAGTTTCCTCATCTTTGTTGTCTTTATTATAACATTTTGGTCACTGTACCCTCAGGTCTTCTTTCTATCTGAATTTCTCAAATGAGGTGTTCTTACTATTATACATTGATTCATTCAGACCAGTTTCCTCATCTTTGTTGTCTTTATTATAACATTTTGGTCACTGTACCCTCAGGTCTTCTTTCTATCTGAATTTCTCAGATGAGGTGTTCTTACTATTATACATTGATTCATTCAGACCAGTTTCCTCATCTTTGTTGTCTTTATTATAACATTTTGGTCACTGTAACCTCTGGTCTTCTTTTCTATCTGAATTTCTCAGATGAGGTGTTCTTACTATTATACATTGATTCATTCAGACCAGTTTCCTCATCTTTGTTGTCTTTATTATAACATTTTGGTCACTGTACCCTCAGGTCTTCTTTCTATCTGAATTTCTCAAATGAGGTGTTCTTACTATTATACATTGATTCATTCAGACCAGTTTCCTCATCTTTGTTGTCTTTATTATAACATTTTGGTCACTGTACCCTCAGGTCTTCTTTTCTATCTGAATTTCTCAAATGAGGTGTTCTTACTATTATACATTGATTCATTCAGACCAGTTTCCTCATCTTTGTTGTCTTTATTATAACATTTTGGTCACTGTACCCTCAGGCCTTCTTTCTATCTGAATTTCTCAGATGAGGTGTTCTTACTATTATACATTGATTCATTCAGACCAGTTTCCTCATCTTTGTTGTCTTTATTATAACATTTTGGTCACTGTAACCTCTGGTCTTCTTTCTATCTGAATTTCTCAGATGAGGTGTTCTTACTATTATACATTGATTCATTCAGACCAGTTTCCTCATCTTTGTTGTCTTTATTATAACATTTTGGTCACTGTAACCTCTGGTCTTCTTTCTATCTGAATTTCTCAAATGAGTATCTGAATTTCTCAAATGAGTGTTCTTACTATTATACATTGATTCATTCAGACCAGTTTCCTCATCTTTGTTGTCTTTATTATAACATTTTGGTCACTGTACCCTCAGGTCTTCTTTCTATCTGAATTTCTCAGATGAGGTGTTCTTACTATTATACATTGATTCATTCAGACCAGTTTCCTCATCTTTGTTGTCTTTATTATAACATTTTGGTCACTGTACCCTCTGGCCTTCTTTCTATCTGAATTTCTCAGATGAGGTGTTCTTACTATTATACATTGATTCATTCAGACCAGTTTCCTCATCTTTGTTGTCTTTATTATAACATTTTGGTCACTGTACCCTCAGGCCTTCTTTCTATCTGAATTTCTCAGATGAGGTGTTCTTACTATTATACATTGATTCATTCGGACCAGTTTCCTCATCTTTGTTGTCTTTATTATAACATTTTGGTCACTGTACCCTCAGGCCTCCTTTCTATCTGAATTTCTCAGATGAGGTGTTCTTACTATTATACATTGATTCATTCAGACCAGTTTCCTCATCTTTGTTGTCTTTATTATAACATTTTAGTCACTGTACCCTCAGGCCTTCTTTCTATCTGAATTTCTCAGATGAGGTGTTCTTACTATTATACATTGATTCATTCAGACCAGTTTCCTCATCTTTGTTGTCTTTATTATAACATTTTGGTCACTGTACCTTCAGGCCTTCTTTCTATCTGAATTTCTCAGATGAGGTGTTCTTACTATTATACATTGATTCATTTGGACCAGTTTCCTCATCTTTGTTGTCTTTATTATAACATTTTGGTCACTGTAACCTCTGGTCTTCTTTCAATCTGAATTTCTCAGATGAGGTTTTCTTACTATTATACATTGATTCATTCAGACCAGTTTCCTCATCTTTGTTGTCTTTATTATAACATTTTGGTCACACTACCCTCAGGGCCTTCTTTCTATCTGAATTTCTCAGATGAGGTGTTCTTACTATTATACATTGATTCATTCAGACCAGTTTCCTCATCTTTGTTGTCTTTATTATAACATTTTGGTCACTGTAACCTCTGGTCTTCTTTCTATCTGAATTTCTCAGATGAGGTGTTCTTACTATTATACATTGATTCATTCGGACCAGTTTCCTCATTTTTGTTGTCTTTATTATAACATTTTGGTCACTGTAACCTCTGGTCTTCTTTCTATCTGAATTTCTCAGATGAGGTGTTCTTACTATTATACATTGATTCATTCAGACCAGTTTCCTCATCTTTGTTGTCTTTATTATAACATTTTGGTCACTGTACCCTCAGGCCTTCTTTCTATCTGAATTTCTCAGATGAGGTGTTCTTACTATTATACATTGATTCATTCGGACCAGTTTCCTCATTTTTGTTGTCTTTATTATAACATTTTGGTCACTCTACCCTCAGGCCTCCTTTCTATCTGAATTTCTCAGATGAGGTGTTCTTACTATTATACATTGATTCATTCCGTCCAGTTTCCTCATCTTTGTTGTCTTTATTATAACATTTTGGTCACACTACCCTCAGGCCTTCTTTCTATCTGAATTTCTCAGATGAGGTGTTCTTACTATTATACATTGATTCATTCAGACCAGTTTCCTCATCTTTGTTGTCTTTATTATAACATTTTTGTCACTCTAACCTCTGGTCTTCTTTCTATCTGAATTTCTCAGATGAGGTGTTCTTACTATTATTCATTGATTCATTCAGACCAGTTTCCTCATCTTTGTTGTCTTTATTATAACATTTTTGTCACTGTAACCTCTGGTCTTCTTTCTATCTGAATTTCTCAGGTGAGGTGTTCTTACTATTATACATTGATTCATTCAGACCAGTTTCCTCATCTTTGTTGTCTTTATTATAACATTTTGGTCACACTACCCTCAGGCCTTCTTTCTATCTGAATTTCTCAGATGAGGTGTTCTTACTATTATACATTGATTCATTCAGACCAGTTTCCTCATCTTTGTTGTCTTTATTATAACATTTTTGTCACTGTAACCTCTGGTCTTCTTTCTATCTGAATTTCTCAGATGAGGTGTTCTTACTATTATACATTGATTCATTCAGACCAGTTTCCTCATCTTTGTTGTCTTTATTATAACATTTTTGTCACTGTAACCTCTGGTCTTCTTTCTATCTGAATTTCTCAGATGAGGTGTTCTTACTATTATACATTGATTCATTCCGTCCAGTTTCCTCATCTTTGTTGTCTTTATTATAACATTTTGGTCACACTACCCTCAGGCCTTCTTTCTATCTGAATTTCTCAGATGAGGTGTTCTTACTATTATACATTGATTCATTCAGACCAGTTTCCTCATCTTTGTTGTCTTTATTATAACATTTTTGTCACTGTAACCTCTGGTCTTCTTTCTATCTGAATTTCTCAGATGAGGTGTTCTTACTATTATACATTGATTCATTCAGACCAGTTTCCTCATCTTTGTTGTCTTTATTATAATATTTTGGTCACTGTATCCTCAGGCCTTCTTTCTATCTGAATTTCTCAGATGAAGTTTTCTTACTATTATACATTAATTCATTCAGACCAGTTTCCTCATCTTTGTTGTCTTTATTATAATATTTTGGTCACTCTACCCTCTGGCCTTCTTTCTATCTGAATTTCTCAGATGAGGTGTTCTTACTATTATACATTGAATCATTCAGACCTGTTTCCTCATCTTTGTTGTCTTTATTATAACATTTTGGTCACTCTACCCTCTGGCCTTCTTTCTATCTGAATTTCTCAGATGCGGTGTTGTTGCTATTATACATTGATTCATTCAGACCAGTTTCCTCATTTTTGTTGTCTTTATTTTCGCATTCTGGTCACTGTACCCCCAGGCCTTCCTTTTATCTGAATTTCTCTGGTGAGGTGTTGTTACTATTATACATTGATTCATTCAGACAAGTTTCATCATCTTTGTTGTAATTGTTAAAATATTCATGGCCATCCTTTCTCAGTTTTTTGGCTGTTATGGAAGTTATTTGTCCTTAGTAAAGTGGCTAAATGCATATATATTACATTAAGCATTGTTTGAAATTCTCTTTGTATTTGTTTTCTGCAGTGAATTATCCTTTTTTATCACTTATAGTTCCTATAGAAACTTTTACATAAAAATCAGTCATTTTTGTTAAACTGAGTAAGTTTAATACTTCATCCTGGTGAGAAATTTCATTTGATTTTTTTCACATTTGCAAGACTAAACAAAATTTTATTGGTATTTGTTGATTATAATTCTTTTTTAAAATCTGAAGGAAATTTAGGACAGATGAACAATCCAGGATGATGAATGAAACAATAAAAATTTAATATTTTTTATTTTTTATTTTTCACTGAAAACTTTTCTCATTTTTCTTAGATGGAGAAGTGTGGTTGTGCACAAGTATCACCATGATCTGAATGATTTTGCTTACCAGTTAAAACTTCCTTTGCATGCAAGGTCTACTGCTTCAAAAGCGGTAAAAAATAATCTTGCTCATACAGAAGTGTTGGCCAATAAAAATCTGTTGACAAATGCCCAAAAGGTGAAGTATTAATACTTATAATAATTTAAAATTTTTATTATAGCAGAGTTGTTTCTATTTTTTTTTTTCATATTTGATATTTGTATAATCTGTGATGTTATGTATAGAATGCATTAAACAAATATATCATTCATTGTCATCATTACATATATAGTGATAGAGCAATTACTAAAAACACATAAAGGACTATTTTACAAAAATAATGCACTGAATATTATTTATTGGCATCGATATTCAGAGAACTTAAAATGATTACTTGGTTACTTATTTTAGTATATCATTTTGCATAAAATTATTGCCACATGGTGCAAACATTTGTCAGTACATTATTTAAACAAATTAGTCATAAATAATCAACAGTGACTTTTTATAGACAACCTTTTCTTATATCATTAGCAGACTGTTTTTATCTTTACATAAGTAATGAAAGAATCATTCAAAGTAACATGGTTAATTGAAATAAATGCTGCATAATTCCATGCAAGAATTTGTCTACTTAGTCATTAATACCATTATCATAAAGGAAGTGATTAACAAAGAAGAGATTAAATTCTTGGATACGAGATAAAGCCACTGTTGACAAATTTGTTATGTTATTTATTGACTAGCTATTCATGTAGTCACTTATACCACATGTAAGACTTATTAAGCATATATATCAAAACTTTGATTTATTCTATTCATTACATATGTATCCTGACAAATCACATACTGATTCTGATACAAGGTAAAAAAATGGTATTATTTTAGAGCTGACTGTTTTACTTATGGTTGCATATACTTTGAACTGTTGGCCTATTAGCCTTCTACCTGTTTTTGGGAAACTACTAGAGGCCCTAATCAACTCTGAATTAGTTAAACATCTCACATCACAGGGCCTTCTTTCAGACAAGCAAAATGGCTTTTGCTTCTCTGTCAGCTGCTGATGTACAAATGATTATTTACTAAGAGTTTATCAAGCTTTATATATGAATAGTGAAGCTTGGGCTGTTGCTTTGGATATCTCAAAAGTGTTTGACAGGGTTTGACATACCGATTTTCTTCTCAAGTTGAAAGGCTATGGTATTTTCAGACTAACTTTTGAATTGATTCAGTCTTTCTTATGAAATTGTGAAACAAAAGTTGTCCTCAATGACCACTCTGCTAGATCTTTTTGTACTAATGCAGATTTACACCAGGGCTCTATCTCTGGACCTAATTTGTTCTTTTCATTAATGACCTTCCTGATGACATCAGTTCTCAACTATGTATGCTGATGACACAACCATTTACTTCTGTCTCAGTAAGTTAATAAGGTCAAATTAGGATCTCATCTAAAAAGTGACCTACTGTCTGTTGTTAACTGAAGCAAGGATTTGTCATGTTAATGTTAACACCTCCAAAACAAAATTTCTATTAATCATCTGAGAGACCCCCTTCCTGCCTCTCATCAGCATGGCTGATGATAAACTCCAGGAAAGTGACTTGTTGCATTTTTGTGGACTAACATTCTTGGCTGAGATGAAATGAAAAGATTATATTGAATCCATTGCTAGGTCAGCTCATAATGAACTCTTCACTACAATACCTAGACTTTATGAATTTAAGTGCAGTACTAGATTGGCAGCAAGGACTCATCAATTCATAGTTGATTTGGCTTGATGTAACAGTAAGTTCTCCGCTAACAGTTTCTTTCCTGCACTTCTCATTTGTAGAACTCTCCTCTGGCTACATGCTTTCCAACCAACTTTGATCTTCAAAAATTTAAATGCAATGTCAATCACTTTCTACTGTCCTCCTGATTACTCTTCTTTTGTTCTTGCTCCTTAACTACTGCTTAGCATGGAGTGAAATGATTAATATATATATGTAAAGAAGGAAAAAAATTGAAGAAAAGGACAAATAATCGCAACATCCTAACATGTACACACACACACACTCACACACACAGATGACCACATGTGTGCAAACGCACATATGAACACAAACAATATGGAAAAAAAATTACACTAATGAAAAGTGCATAAAAAGAAAAATCAAGATAACAGTCAATTGCTGATACCCCCTGTAGAGTGGATGGAGTGATTTCTGGAGTGTCTGTATATAAAACTCTGGAGCTGGAATGCTGAAGGTAACATCAATCAGCTAAGTGACAAACTTTTACTTTTACTTATATATATATATATATATATATATATATATATATATATATCATTTAGCTGGATTTAATACATATTCTAAATTTGCACGCACACACACACATATACACATGTGTGTGAGTGTGTGTGAATAGAAAATATGGATTAAATACAGCAAAATGATTAAATAGGCAATAAATAGGAAAATCTTTATGAAGAAGAAACTAAAATAAACTAAAATATGTCAAATTTATAAAGGTTTTCTGACTTGTTCCCTATTTAATCACATTGGCTGCCCCCCAAAGCTGCTTAGCATCATCGCCTCCTTTCACAAGAACATGCAGGGTGTAGTAGGATTATGATTGTGAAACTTCAATGCACTTCATAATTCAGAGTGGTATAAAACAAGGATGTGTTTGGTATCTTTTTTCCATATTATTGAGCTTTGTGTTCAAACAATCTGAATATGGTGCATACTTGAACACATGAAACAATGGTAAATAATTCAACTTGTCTCAACTGAGAGCAAAGACCAATGTGTGTACAGTACTTATCAGAGAAATGCTGTTTGTTGATGACATAGCTCAGTCACTCCAGATACTGATAGAAAAAGGGCTGAATTTTTTTACTAATCCAGATACTAACATTATTTTGTAAGATAAATGGATGCCTACTACTACTATGTTGTTTTCTATGAAGGCAGAGCATTATGATATATGGTTATTTTAACTTCAAAACATCTGAGGTTTCTCAGATAGCAAAAAATATATTACCAAGCCCCAGAATATGAAATGAATTTAAATCAAGAATGTTGCTGTTTATTTCTCAGTTTTACTGTTTAATACTTTATGTTTTTATATTGTGAATGTGTATGGGGTAGGGGTGGGGGCTATTTGTAATAATATTTGGATTTCTGTTCTAACTATTATTACTATTAATATTTGTACATATATATACAAAAAAAAAAGATATGACTATTATTATTAATATTTGGATTTCTGTTCTAACAATTATTTTCTGAAGTGAATCCATGTCTAGAAAACATATCATATCAAATTTTATTATATTTTCTTCTTCCTGTTTTTATTTTGTCAAAATCAGAAATTTCATTTTAAGGGTGTCTGCAATCATTTTAAATTTGTTGAATGCTCTACTAATATAGCCTTGTGCCAATGATGGTAATTGAAATCTTTCTCCAGAGATTTCAGCTCACATTATAAATACTGAAATAAATTGTGTCATGTAACTCTTTATTGAGCACTTTTGTGTTGAAGCCACTGTTAGATTAATCATATTGTATTTTCAGCAGACAGCCTTTTAAGGATTCAACAACAGCTGAAAAAGAAAGGGTGGCAAACAAAAAAGTGTAGTGGTATGAGTACAACACAAAGCAAACACATTGTCTAAAATATTTTAAATTTATTTCTTTGTGAAAATGGTGAACTTATTTTTGAAAAATAAATGGGTGTATGAAAACATGTGACTGATAATCTTAGGCCTCAGATGCTGTATTTATACTCCATGTCTCTTTTTATCTCTGCTATTATCATGTTTTCTGCCACTGGGTCAGGTGATCTAGCAGTTTGTTTTCTGATCAGTTGCTAATGCAGATGAAAACTTTTTGGCTGTTCTCTAAGTGACCACTGGGTTGGTTGTCCAGATAAATAAATTTTTCTTTTCTTTGTTTTAGCATCCTGTTTCTCTTTTCTCATCTATCAGGGTTTTTGGATAATTTCACCTCAAACACAGCACTAAATCTAAACCTGTACATCTTGTTCACCCTTCAATCAGGGGTCTCATTGATTTTATCTCCAGTCAGTCAAATTATTAGACCCCCAACTGCATATACTTTAACATTTGATAGATTCTGTTAGCTGTTAATATTGTAGGTTTCAAAAGAAGACAGTGATGCTTTTAATTCTTTCTGTTTTTGCACACATTTGGGGAGTTTGTACAGTTAGTAGATCACCAATGATTTCTCTTTTATGGGTGTTTAACTCAAGTACAAAGAAGGGTTTGATTGTTTCTTGTTTATGTGATATAACCAGAATTATTGTAGAGATGACTAGAGAGAAGAGATAAATATTTATTTCACTCAAGATCAAGTAGCCTTTTTTTAAAGTCAAAATAAATTGTTTAAGAGTAAATTGCCATTTCAGTAAAAGATAAACTGGCATTGCACAATTGAATTGTATTTTGTTCTATTTAGGTTATTGTGGTATTGGAGGTATACATATTTTCTACAATCATCTTTAATTAATTAATTAAATTTTACTTGTATATTGTTGAAAGAGAACAAAAACAAGCAAATACTGCTGGTGAGGTAGAAAGAAAAGGAGATAAGTTAAAATAAAATTCTCTGTATTGCTGATATTGACAAAGGTGGAATGTTTCTTTGTGGATGGAGGAAGTGACCTGAAAGATGAAAGAATCAGTAATGTATAGGGCTGATGTTGAAGCTTGTGTTGGATCAGTTAACCATGGGTTCACTGGTGAACTCTGTAACTACCTGCCTACTGCCTTGAGTATCATGAGCCTTTTAAGCAATTATGGTGGATACGTGACTCAGTATTTTTTGTTATGCTTTTAGCAGCAACATTTGTGATTGGCTCTGATGTATAAATTGTATTTTATATTTTGTAAGACCCTGGCCCAAAAGAGCAACTATTTTATTTTTAATTTTGTGTTCATAGCGTTAACATTTGGCCCAAAAAGTTATGGAGTGAATCAGAAAGAAATCTAATTATAAGCAGTATAACAGTTATTATACTCACAGCATTTTCATCAGTGTATGCTTTGCAGCATTTAAGTAATCAGTTTTTACATTTATTTACTACTATTTGACTTGCAACAGAATGCATGCATTTGTTGATGCTGTTTTAAATAAACAAGAACATTTGTCTTAAAGCACTAATAATAAAGAGAGAGAGAGTATATCAATATTAGTTCTTATTTTACAGATATCTATCTAATCTCAGTATCTATCTATCTATCTATCTATCTATCTATCTATCTATCTATCACTTTCAAACATCTTCCTTAATATTTCCAGGCTCAAGGTATAATTGATTCTCATATGGAAATGAGGTTTCAGAAGCGAATTGAAAATCCACTACGATTCCATATACAGCCAACCTTAGGCCAGTTAAGTGTCAGGATGTATAATAACCCTCTAAAAGCTGATAGAAAAGTATCAGTTTTCAAAAAATGTAAGTCTTTATATTATTTTTCATGTATTACTCATATATATATATTGTAAGAGTTCTTGGACTGCAAAGGAAATATTTGTTACAGATTACTTCCACAATGCAGAGAACAAATTGCAAGTTCAAGCTTGAATATTAGAGACAGAAAGAAATGTTGAAATCTAGATTCACAGGTCAAATGTCACAAATCATAATGCATGTAACCAGTCAGAAAAATGACTCATTCACTGACAAACCTGGTAGCCAAATACACATATTTTGTCTTTGTTCCTGATTTGAGAACACCAACTGCTTTTATTGACTGAGCATTTTTTTCATTTGTCGACAACTGAGAGAGGATGCACAATATTAGTATATCCAAAATACTTTCATGGCAACTCCTGTGACTGACTTGTTTTTAATTTGAATATTCCATCTTCAGCATATCATGCAGAATACATGCCCTTTTTTTGGCAATTAACTTTCTTTTTTGACACATTTTCCATTGTAGGATACATGCGACATGCTGTCGCTTGGTCTGATGAGGTAATTTGCAGCTTTCTTCAATATATATATATATATATAAATATATATTGAGAGAGAAAAAGAGAGAGAGAGAGAATGATGTATATTTATCCCAAATTTCAAATTTTGAAATTCATTTTATACAGCAGTGAAATAAAATCTGTCTAATCTATTTTTTTACATTTAACTTTGGGCCATTCTTCAGCTTAATAAATCTAATTTCTGTTTTGCACAGTTTGATTAAGCCATTTAATTTAAACATTATAAAATGTTTTTCACATTAATTAATTTATGAGACCTTTAATCAGTGCTACTCTTTAGATTTCAATATAATATTTAAATATTGTTTAGTGTTGGGGAAAAATGGGCAATCATCATCATCTTCATCATTGTCATCTCATTGTCATTATATAACTAACAATTTATGTTATTAACAGATTATTTCTAGGGATTTATATATTTAATTGGAATCAAAAGAGTTTAAGAATGGTTTCAAATGATTCATATTTCAAGATGTATTTAATATGAAGTAATTCTAACAAACAATACTGTGAATATGGACCAATAGATCAACTGAGGAAGACATTTTGTTAACTTCAGTAAACTTTAGTATCTTTTAAACTTACATCAAATAATTTTTGTGTCATTAGTATTATTTATTGTTCAGTACTATCAGTAAATATTTAATTCTAAATCAAATTTTTGTTTATCAATAATAAAAAAAGCTGATGAATGATTTTTATTAATACTAGTTTGGAATAAGTTACTTCTTTGATAGCTACATGATCCAATTTCAAATCTAAATTGTTTGTCTGTTTAAAATACAGCATTTATGAGAAAATATATTCAGTTTATATACAGAGGGAGTCATAAAAGTGATTTCAAAGGGTTGGCTTATATACTTTTTCTGTTATCCACAGTTTGTTGCCAGACAACAAGAGAAATTATCTCTCAAAGCATAAATATCCATTTGAGTTTCATTTAAATTGTGTGCATTATATTTTAAGTCAATGACAAACTTAAAAAATTCCTAGATTTAAAAAAGGAATTCAAAGATAATTCTATTTATTATTAAATAATTTCTAAAAAGTTCAATAAAATCCTATAATTATTTGATTTTGTTTAAGATTTAAAAATCTGTTATTTTTATTTTCACCTTTATGATTTTATTGTTCTGCCCAGGATAGGGATTGTCCAGATTGAGTAGGAGAGGGATGTCTTATTCTAATGTCTTATCATAATCTTACAATCACACAATCTGATTGTGTATGTGTTTGTATATGTATGTATATGTGTATGCATGTGTATACATTAAATGGCAAAAGCATTTTGGTAAGACCACATCTGATTTTGCAAAAATGATTCAGTGATTTAAATTCTTTAAAGAATTTTGCTTTTAACTAATATAGTCACTAAAAATTATTATGTTGAATTTCTCAAGTTTTCATAAAATTAAGGAGCTGAAGCACATATAAAAAATATTTTTACCAATATTTTCTAATAAAAAATTTCAAAAATAATTTCATTCATTTGTGAATAAATCTTGAAAATTTCATTAAAATCTGACAATTATTTGATTTTGCAAGAATTTCCAAATTAATCTGTCTGTCACTACAAAAAAAAGAGGTGAAATTTGCTATGCTAAAAGTTGGTACAATTGCCGACAAAAGAAAAAAAGAATTTTCTAATCAAAATTTCAAATGTTCTAAAAAGGATAAAAAAATTTAACTAAATAATCAAAAAATACTTTGATCCTTCCTCTTAATAATGATATGATTATGATGATAAAATTGTGTTTTCATTACGTTTGCAGCATGTTTTTATCATGGTATGCTGATTTTTTAGTTTTCACTTTCATATGAATTCCCAACTTTACAACATAACACACACACTCCTATATAAATATAAGAGTAAAAATGGCTTTGTGCAAAACAAATGACCTTTGCATAAATATAAAAACCTCAATGATAGAAAATCCTACAAATGTTGACTTCAACAATAAAAACCAACCTTCTGATACCTTTACACATGTAGCCTTTAGCATTGCCAGATACCGACTTTGCACAAATGTCAACAACTTGGCATATGAACATTCCTGAATGCTGAAACAACAATGTCCACAGAATTAAACATTGATCCTACAGAAGCCAATTTGACTTTAAATCTGATTGCATACAACACTACAAATGTACAAACTTGGTTCTACAGGCAATTTTCAATGACAAGCAGATCACATCAGTGTTACAATTTATAGGTTTTTCTATCTTCTAGATTTTTTTATATTAAAAATCTGAACATCTGAATTCTAAACAACAATAAAATAAAAATAAAGAAAACATGAGTATACCTATTAAATAAATCATTTGTATTTACAAATATATGTACATGAATTCAAAAGAGTCAAAAAGGAGAAAAATTAATGTTTAGTTGAATTAAAGTCTTTGGGTACTTGAACCAAAGAAAAATCTATAGTTTAGAAAAGAGTTTTAAATAGTTGGTTCACAGAAAAAAGCTGTAGTTGATAAAGAACTTTTCAAATTAAACAAGCTGGAAGATCTGTTGAGACATCACTAATAATAAATAAAAATAAAAATATAAAATATTAATAATAAATAAAATAAAACAACATTAAAACTGTTTAAAATAAATAAAGCCAAAATAATAAAGGTTCTCCCATCATGCAACAGAAAACTTTCCTGCTTGAGAAATGCCCAACTTGCTCTCTTCATTGCTGATCATCAAAGTGTCAAGACGTCCATCTTCTCTCCTTGGCACTTTGCTTGTCATAACATGAAGTAAAGTTCTTCCTCTATTACATGCAACCTTAAAACACATATGACTAAACTAAACACACATCAGTACACAGGAATAAATAAAATTATATGGTTTTGATTTATGATTTAACATGTTTTTAGTGTTATTTCTTTGTATGTTTTCATTTCTGTGGTGTAAAAAAAAGAACATATCTAGGTGTCTCCCGCTAAACTACTTTTTGATCGACCTCTGTGAGACAAAATACCTACTCTTAATATTGTGACTGTTAATAATCAACATAAACAGGCAAAATATGCTGATGATAAATGAAAGTATAAATCAAAGCAATACAGCAATAAATCAAAACAATGTGATATTTTGCAAGGTGATCCTGTGTTCTTATGGTGGGATGGGGAGAAACAGAATAAATTTTCAACACCATTTTCTATTCAACCATACACTGTTATTAACTGAAAAGGGTCAGCCATAACTGCTTAGAAGCTGGATAAACCTAGTGTGTATGCTTTACATGTAAACTATTTGAAAAAAATTCCAAATTTCAAGAAGGTTGACACTGATTTTGATGACAAATATGACAGTGCAAGCTTGGAAGGAGAGAATGACGTTTCTGGATTCACAAACAGTAGGGAACAACAAAAATTGTGATGTTCCCCCAGAAATTGATGTACCCAGTTGTGGTGTTGGGATTTTGTTATGTAAAAAATGTGGGGGGATATTGTGGTATATAAAAGGTTATCTGCTCTTGAGCTGGAAAATAGTGAGAAATACAAATATTCCTGTGAACATGACCCTACCCCTGCTGGTATAATGTGAGTCACCCCACAAGTCCTCTTTGTTTTGATCTTTCTGTTTCTGTAGAAATTTAATATTTATTGTTGAACCATTTTATACATTCTTTAAGTACAAACACTTGGATGTTTTCATTCTTGCAAATGATTAAGTGTTCATAGAGTAAATCTTCATTTCTTTTTGGGATAAATATGATAAGGCTGAGATTTTTTTTCTTTCACAAGAAGAGCAGTTGATATTTTGTATATGGCATATGATACAGTTCCCTAGAAGTAATTTTCTCTTTTAGTTAAAAAAATATATTTTTTTATAAAATATATTATTAGTGCCTTAGAATCCAATCTCATTAAGAAAAATAAGGACAATAGCAAAACTAACAACAAAAAAACAAAGGCCAAGAAGATAAATACTAGTCTAATGAAATCATTTATCTGGCCTTAAACAGGCTGGGGTAGGTAATAAAACATAAAATGTATCAAATTGAAATACTATACATTCACCTATATCTTACAATTTTGGGTTCATGCACAAACATATTATGTTCAGCCAACCATGAAGATTACATTTCAATAACAAAACATTCCACTCTTCAAACAATCTAATACAATGGAAAAATTAGTTTTTCAGCAAGGTTAGTAGATTATTTGTTATTAGTATTATTTTTTTAATATTAAATTAGTAATTAATGATTTTGTTTCTGCGGCTGCTTGGTCTCATGTTGACTGCTGACCTGAGATGGAACAAATACATTGAGTCAATTGCTTCATCCACCGCAAGGAAAGTTGGCTCCCTGTGCCGTGCCAGGAAATTTTTCTCCCCAGAATTGATCCTTCAGATCTACAAATCAACAATTCGCCCTTGCATGGAGTATTGCTGCCATATATGGTCTGGAGCCCCTTCTGTTTGCCTCAGGGTTCTTGATAGGTTCCAGAGGCGGATATGCAATATAATTGGCCCTGTTCTGGCATCTCGTCTACAGTTGCTCTCTCACAGACGCGTTGTCGCCTCTCTCTGTCTTTTTTACAAATACTTTCATGGTAATTGCTCCGAGGAGCTGCATTCGCTGGTTCCCAGACTTCATGAATTCAAGCGCCCTACACGGCTGGCATCCCACTCTCACCCTTTCACTGTTGAAACTATTAAATGTAGCCATCTTTTCTACTGCAATAGCTTCATATCTCGCACCTCTCGCCTGTGGAACTCTCTTCCGTATTCCAGTTTCCCTGATAGCTATAATCTTCAACTATTCAAATGTAATGTCAATCGACATCTCCAGTTGTCTTGATCTATCCACTATCCTTCTCCTCATCCTTTCCTCTATCACTCCTATCTGATCTTGCTCCAAATCTTCTGTAACCCCTTGTGTCCTAGTGGCTTCCTGTCTTGCTTGGGGTGAAACGCTTAAAAAAAAAAACAAAAAAAAACTGGTACCTATATGGAAATATTTTTACAATGTACCCAAACTTAGGGCCCTCTTTATGAGTGTCACACCCAAAGCCATTCTTAAAAGTAACAAAACTCTATTCCAAAATATAAAAAAGAAACTGAATAAATACCTGGCTACAAAATGCAACTAAGACCAAATTATATTCCCACTTTTATATAATAATACCTTATAAAAGAATTTGTCTGCAAAATAAAAACAAATCTTAAAACTACCAGATTTGGTGCAAAATGAACCTTGGGAATAGAATACCTGTAAAATAACCTATTTAAATCTAAATTCATAATGTAGGTTTTCCAAATGTCTCTTGAATTCCAAATTCTTAAGACATTCATGTATTTTTATATTTCTTTATTTTACATGGATAACTTTTAGATTAAACTGCTAAAAATATTCAAAGACTGAGTAAGTGGGATTTTTTTTTCCAGTAAAATATGATAGAGCATATTCACATCAATTTCAGCTTTCTATTAATTAGTTTTGAGCCTAAAACATCTATTGACAAGATTAAATTGTAATTGTGTGCTGCTTTTATGTTTGCTTTGTAAAAAGTACAAATAATCTTATAGACTGATACAAAAAGAATTTTGGTAAAAAATAAAGTTACTGCTTAAGAAAAATACTTTATAACTTATTAAAAATAAATTGATTTTTTGTTTTAATTTCTGATTAGTTATAAATAATAATAGTAAGAAATGACTTGACATCAAAAAAGTTTTTATTTTTAATGAAACAAAAGTGTTTACTACAAAAGAAATATGCTAAACCTAAAAATGATATTAACTTTCTTCTGTAATAATTACATTTGCATATATATTTATATGTAACATTTACATATATATTTCATTATTGGTATATTTAAATATATATTTCATACACTATCTGTAACAACTACTAGGAGAGAGTGGAGGAAATGTTTTTCTTTTTACAAATAATTTTTTAGTAATAAAGATTGCAAAATTTGATTAAAATACAGTTTTCTGTGAAATAAACATTCCACACATAGAAAAGTAAATAAATAAAATAATTTTTACAATTTCTTTTTCAGCAGTTGACAAGCAGAAAGATTCCAAAGTTCGATTCAGGGAAATCAAAGTATTGCAACCAAATCTAGAAGATGAAAATTAAAACAAGTTTCGGAATTTGATTGTTTCATAACATTAAAAAATTATTGCTTTACTTATTTAGGGCTGTGATTGTTCTTTTTTATTTCACTTCTTGAATAAGGATAAAGTATACATAAATACCCTACATGCAAGACACTAGTGGCACCCTGGTGGGCTGCTGATGGCAACACCAGCAGTGCTCTGAGGACAGCCACTGGCAGGCCATTGGAATGGTAAATGCTAGTGGCATGCCACCTTGTAGCAGGCTTGTGTTTAGGTTAGTTCATGTAAATAGGTTACAAATTTTCCATAAAATTTGAACTATATATATATATATATATATATATATATATATACAGTGGGGGGAAATAAATATTCGTACACATAAAAAATTGTATTTTTATAAATGTAAAAGCCTTAAATAAAACAAATCTCGGTACATTTTATGTATAAAGACACATACTATTAAAAAATAATAATAAACTTGATTAATTCTTATTCTAACAGAAATTAATACATTTTTTAACTTCTAACTGGTGAAAAGAGTATTCATACAAATCAATTTATGAAAAAAGTATATTCTAGAATGTTCCAGTAATGTTATCAGTAATTATAGTTAACACTATTAGCCATTATCAGAGTATTCGACAATTTCTAGTCTTATGAGAAGGTTCTAATAATGGCTAAAGGTCAAAAATTGACTATTTCACAAAAACAACACATTTTGTCTCTTTGGAAAGATGGGAACAGTTACAGAACGATTTCTAACAACCTGAACATTCCTTTTACTACAATTGCTTCATTCATTGCAAGGTTTAAAACTCGTAACAGTGTCGAAAACCAAAGACAAACAGGTGCTCTGAGGAAGATTTCTCTTAAGATCAACAAGGATATTAGGACGCCAGAGCCAATAAAATCCACAGGTTACCCGAGAAGAGCTGCAGGAACATCTGCGTGCATTCGGGATTAAAGTAACCAAGCGTACAATAAGTAACGAACTACACAAAAACAGTCTGAAATCACACATCCCAAGGAAGACTCCACTCCTCTTGAAATGACATAGAGATGCTAGGCTAAAATTCGTTAGCGAGCATAAGAATAAAGAATATTCATTTTGGGAAAAAGTACTATGGACAGATGAAACTAAAATAGAGTTGTTTGGTCATAATTATCAAAATCATGTGTGGAGGAAGGATGGTGAAGCCTACTTACCAAAGAACACGTTGCCAACTGTAAAGTTTGGTGGTGGCAGTATCATGATCTGGAGCTGTTTTTCTGCAAAAGGTGTTGGCAGAATATCAATAATAGATGGCAAGATGAATGCCGAAAGATACCAGAAAATCCTGCAAGACAATTTAATGTGTTTTGTTGAGAGACTTCGGTTACCTCCTGATTGGGTTTTCCACCTGGATTAATGATCCTAAGCATACCCCTAGATCTACAAGGAAATGGTAGCTGAAAGTAACGTTGATGTCTTGCAATGGCGAAGTCAGTCCCCAGACTTGAACTCAATCGAGAATTTATGGTGATATTTGAAAATTCAAATTAGGAAAAGAGCACCAACAAATATCAAGAATTTGAAGACAATATGCCAAGAAGAATGGGACAAAATACCATTCAATGTGTGCAAATCATTAATTGAGATGTACAGGAATAGACTGGTAGTTGTGGAACTCAAAGGATATTCTACAAAGTATTAAATTAAGTTAAGATGCTTTTTTTGTTTTGTACAAATACTTTTTCATCAATGACAAATGAAAAAAATGCATTAATTTCTGTTAGAATAAGAATTAATTAAGTTTATTACTATTTTTTAATAAAAGGTATCTTTACACATAAAATGTATCAAAATTTGTTTTAGTTAAGGCTTTTACATTTATAAAAATACAATTTTTATGTGTACGAATATTTATTTCCCCCACTGTATATATATATATATATATATATATATATATATATATATATATATATACACACAAAAACAAGAACTTTTTTCCATAGCATATTATTGCACAAATCTTTCTTAGAATTATATTCATTCATACGTGCACATATATATATATATATTTGTGTATTTAGGCAGCAATCCTTCTTTCATGCACATTTCATTGTATATTTATACAATTTCTCATCTGATCTAACAATTTTTTCTTTTCGGTTGATAAATTATATAAAAACTGTCCAAATATTCTTTTTTTTCCGAGCGCTTTTGGCTATATATTTAGCTATTTTCAAGGATGAAATATTTTAACTGTTAAACTATTTAATTGGAAAAAATATTTGGACAGTTTTTATATAATTTATCATCTGAAAAGAAAAAATTGTTAGATCATATGAGATTGTATAAAAAACTAAATCAAAGTACCTTGTCTGTCATATTGATATATGAAATGTGCATATATATACGTGTGTGTGCGTGTAAGATATCACACATTGAGTGCTGGTGTTAATATAAAATAATGTTTGATGTTATATTGGAGAGGGGGTAGAGAATTGCTTATTTTTTTTTATTTTCAGTAGCACTTATTTTTCTAAATTGTAATTTTCTTTATGAACATTTATTTTATCAATTAAGTATGGTAATATACTTCAGAGTAAAATCATTTTTTATTTCGAGATCATCCACTAAGGAGGGTTACCGATATTTTCTTACAAATAATAACCAGAAGTCCCCGGTTAGTAATTAAAATAAAATTTCCAGTCCCTATTTTTTATATTTCTAGAAAGATAAAACCGAGAAAATGATCGCTTAAAAAATAAAAAATGTTCCAACACATGAAAATTTTTTCCAAAAAACTGAAATGCTGCTTTTAAAACAAATTTTTAAGACAATCCCGTTTGTGCTGTTGTAAATGCTGCTTGTGTTGAAGAGATTAATGTGGCTGCGTGTTGAAGAGCATTTAGCATTTATACATTATTGAATCAAGGAAAAACAATGAGAAAACGATTTTGTTTCAACGATAAAATATATATTAAAATCAACAAATACAAAAAATTTTGTAATGTGTGAATATTAAGGAAAAGAAAGTAGTTTCCCTTTATCTGTTAGCTTGAATAAGATAAAATGCAATTAAGAATGTTTCTTGAATAGAATGTTCAAAGTTCTGTTGAAATAGAACGTTGCATTCAGAAAAATATACAGTTAATTCAGTTATGTGTTATTTGTATAACTAACAGAGTGTTGGTTTGTGACTTGGCTTGTTCACAGAAAACGAATGGTGAAATGTAATTCAAGTTCTGTGTCTGTGTGTGCGTAGTGAGTAGAATCAATAATCTGTGTAGACGCGTGTGAGTTGCTGGGTTCTACTGTCTATTTTTGGAACAAAACATTGCTTTTATAACTATTGCTAGGCGGGAGAATTGAACGAACACAGAAAATATATGATTGGATGAAAAATTAGTCAATCGGTGATTTTCTAACAAAAGCATGTTTGTAAAATTCACGGCAGAAAAATTCAGTGTAGTGACTGCGATTAGTAAATTGTCCTGTGGTAAACAGTATTTATTATTTAACCAATCACAGTTGGTAAACGTAGTAGTCAATACACTGTGTTGGAATCTTTGTAAAACTTTTTCAGCGGAGATGCGTCGGCGTCTTTATGGAAATGTAAAAATTTGCGACTTAAACATTTTTTTGAGTAAAATTTGCTCAAGAAAATATTGGTGATGAATACAAAAAGAATAACATTTTCTCAGATTTTTTTTAAAAAATAAAAAAAACTATTCATTATAAAACTAAATAATTAATGAATATGTACTGAAATTTTCATTTAAATTGGATAACTCCTTGATTTTTGGTAATTAAAAAAAAAAACTTTGCACTCTACCCCAATTTTCCTTCGTGGGTTTGTGGCCTCCTGGCTTGGAATTTTTATAATCAACATGCTGTAGAGAGGAACTCCCGTATCAAATTGGGGCGGGGGGGGACCCTAGCGCTTGTCTTGGCTGGAAGTTTCATTAAAATCCGACCATTGTGTAGTGGTGTTGTAAGATATGTTGGCTAGGGTCACCGTGAAATATAATAGCAATCAAGAAGGAAAGCTGTGTTCTTATAAACAACACCCCACATGAAATATGCACAGAATATATGAGAGAAATAAATCAAGCTCAATGAACATTAATAAAATATTGTATTAACAATGCTATACAAATATCAACAATAAGTATAAAAAAGTTGCTCCCCTTTTTCTGTAATAAAAAGGGTAAATGCAGCTAATTAATGTTGAGTACAATATTGAATGTTATTTAACTATAAAGTTCAATTAATGTTCTTAGCTCAATGAAGAATAATTCCACAGTCTGTTTGTGTGAAAAGATGTAATGTACACAAGTGAGATCAATAGAAGTTAGTAAGATTACTCGAATGAGTAACAACTAAGAATTAAAATGAGCGCCGTGCCGTATTTTCAGATAATTGAACTGCTACAATACTGTTGGCTAACAGTGAGAGAGTTTATATAGGTATGCATAGGCTCAAGTGAGCTTGGCGCCAAAAAATATAGAAAGATATTAAAATACGCGATTGGTCAGGAAATGGACCAATCCGTGATTTCAGGGAAAAATTCAAATAATATGCGATGGCAAAATTGTCATATGGTAAGTATCATATATTTATGAACCAATGACATTAAAGAAAGCGGAGGTGTGGCACATGTAAGTGATCACCACAATACTCCCTCAAGATTGAAAAGTCAGGGAAGAAAGAGTTTTCAATATGTAATGAAAGTTCTGCCAGTGGACGGTACGTCCGCTAGCAGTCCTGGCAGGTGCTGGTGACGAAAGCTGAGGGCTGTCTAGCGAAGGGCTCGTAGGTTGATTGGTTGATCCATCGCGTTCAATACATGCAGGTTTTAAGCGATCGATAGAAGGTCGATCGGCCGTGGTTAGTCTGTAGAGTATAGTATTTATCGGTCCGGGCAAGGACACGAAATGGACCCGTATAATGTGGTGTGAGTGGCTTTCTAACAGAATCCTGCCGTACAAAAACGTACTCGCATTTCAGTAAGGAAGGAGGCACATAAACGTCACGTGAAGTGTAACGGGTTGGAGTAAAAGCAAGAGAAGACATTTTTTTCGAAAACAGGTGATAAAACTGGATGAAGGTTCTTGTGTAGATGTTATGGAGAAAAATTGTCCTGGTAATCTGCTGTCCGAAAACTAGATCAGCAGGCGAGCATTTCAGATCTTTAACTTGTGTGCGAAGTGAAAGTAAGACAAAAAAAAAAGGTAAGTTGTTTATCCAAGAGGATTGGTTAGTAGTGCCGATGCTGGTCAAAGCAGCCTTAAGTTGGCGGTGGAACAGTTGTAAGCAGTTGTTGATATATGGCGAGCTTCAAGTAAGTTAGTAAATTCCGTGAATAGCTGAGATTGGAACTGCGGTCCCCGATCAGTGGTAATGATCGAGGGGCATCCGTAAATGGAAATCCAATGTTGAAATATGGCTCGAGCCACGGATTCAGCGGTAGTGCTGTTGATTGAGTGGAACGGCAACCGGCCATCTCGTAAATCTATCTATAATTGTCAAAATGTATTGACATCCCCGAATCTCTGATAAGGGACCCACTAGGTCCGCATGTAGATGTCGGAAACGACCAGCTGGTGACTTAGTGTGTCTCTGGATCTTGTTTTGTTGACAAACAACACAAGATTGAGTATAGCGAGTAATGTCTTTCTTTACGCATCTTAGGCCAGACGAAACGGTCTGCAATTAACCTAAGTGTGGCTTTACGACCAGGGTGGGACCACGAATGAAAGTGGTCGAATATTCGTCGCCGCATGTTGGTTGGGACGACGGGTCGAGGATTACGTAGACTGGTATCGCATGCGATAAGCTTATCAGTAAAGGGCAAGGGATGATGCTCAATATGTAGACGAATTTCGAAGTGAGTCGAGCAAAGTTATCTCCCGTACTTGTTCATCCGCGATATTTTCCATGTCTAAAGTATCTTGCAGGCTTCCACACAAGGATGCTCTGGAAAGTGTATCGGCAGCAATGTTATCCTTTCCTTTAATGTGACGTATATCTGATGTAAACTGAGATATATAATCAAGATATCTGTAGTCCCGAGAATTGTACTTGTCTGATTTAGTTGAAAGGGCAAAAGTGAGGGGCTTGTGATCTGTGTAGATCACAGTGTCTACCCTCTAAAAGGTGTTTGAAATACTTAATTGACAAGTATATAGCTAAAAGTTCCCTTGAAAAGATACTATACTTCTTCTGTGTGGACGTCAACTTAACGAAGAAGGAAATTGGCAAAGATTTAGCGTCAACATATTGGTGTAAAACTGCGCCTATGGCGTCAGAAGATACGTCAGTCGTTAATGATAGCTGAGTGGTAACACCGTCAGTGAGGCATAAAAGTTTCGTAAAGTTGACCAATGCTTTACGAGAGTTGTCAAATGCTTGCGTTGTCTCGTTGTTCCAACAAATAGGAGTATTTTTACGGTCTTGCCCGCAAAGAATATTCGTCAGGAGTGCAAGAATTTGTGAACAACGTGGGATGAATTGACGATAATAATTGATTAAGCCAATGTATCTGCGAAGCTGTCGAAGCGTGGAGGGCTTCGGAAATTCCTGGATAGCACGTATCCTTTCAGGCAGGGGAGTAATACCTGTAGCATCAATGACGAAACCGAGAAAGTGGAGTTGCGAAACGGCAAACTCACACTTCTCTGGGTTGATTTTTAAGCCAAAGTTCTGAAGACGATCAAAGACTTGCTGAATATGTTTACGATACTCCTTTAAATTAGGGCTAGCTATTAGATCATCAATATATGCGAAAGTGAAGGATAGTCCACGAAGTACCTCATCTATAAGGCGTTGGAATGATTGAGCTGCGTTGCGCAGTCGAAAAGGCATACGCAGAAACTCGAATAAACCAAACGGCGTGGTAATCGCAGTTTTGGGAATATCTTCGTCAGCAACTGGGATCTGGTGAAGACAGATGCTCCCTGTAAGATAACAGTAAAGTCGGTCAAATTGGGAACTGGGTACTTATCGGGTACCGTTTGTGAATTAAGTCGTCTATAGTCGCCACACGGCCCCCAGGTGCCCTGCTGAGCCTTAGTGACCATGTGAAGCGGTGAGGCATATGGACTCGAGGAGGGACGAATAATCTCTAGGTCGAGCATGTGTTGGAACTCGGCCCGGGCAATCTTGTATTTGTCCGGCGCAAGACGGCGAGGTTTAGAATAGACAGGCTGTTCGGTAGTTCGAATCCTGCGTAGAGTACTGTGCTTGACAGGCTCTGTATAGGTAAAAGGCTGTATCAACGAGGGAAATTTATCCAGAATATCTTGAATTGAATTATCACGCGGCACAGCGATGCGTAATTCCGTAGATGTTAGCTGTGATATAATTCCGCGGTTAGATAGCTTCGTGGTGGAGTCAGATAACTGACGCTGTGAGAGGTCCACGATGAGTTGATAATGTGCCAAAAAGCCGGCGCCTAAAATGGGGAATTTCACGTCTGCAATGGTGAATATCCATTGGTAATTTCTTCTAAGTCCAATATCCAGTGTTAACGATTGTTTGCCAAAAGTCTTGATGTTCGTGCCGTTAGCGGCGCGTAAGGTGACTTGTAGAGCTTAACCTCTACATGCCAGTAGATCAGAACCAATGACTGAGTTCACTACGTCCTCATTGGACAATAAATATTAAAACATTACTAATTTACATTTTCATGTGTTAGTTGTAGATTTTTGTACAAGCTAAACACAATCCAGGCTCCAGACGCAAGTTTCACAATAATTGTTTCTGATTGGTCAATATATCTCAAGTCGGAACAACGCCTACGCACACGTGTTTAAACACCAAAAAACCGCCTAAATCTTGAAACGTGTTCGTGATCCAACCACGTGACTAGGAATCCAAATATAAGGAATGCACGAACGCAAATTTACCAGTGGGCTTTTGTGGCGGAGAACCAATCGCTAAACTACTCCGCGTCACTTATACTTTTGAAGTTGCAAAGTTAAAATTTCTTAACACGAAACAACTCCAATCCACTCACTCATCAATCACTGGATTCAATCACCATAAACTGTGGAAGTTCTCAACCATAGAACTTATATTCACCCAGTAAACATTTCAGTTGATTCCCTAACAAAAAATTATTACGGTCAAAGAGGGACAACTTCTTAAGCAAACTAAAAACTCGCATAAAAATATTACTACACAAACTGTTTAATATTTCGTAAGTTTGCAAACCTCAATCATACTTTGTATGCCTTGCTTTGTTCTTTTGTATGACTTACTGTATATAAAATTCTCATTGTTTGTTATTCAAAAAAAAAAGAGATTTATTGTTATTTCTCATGTTGATCTGATTCTATGTGTGAATATTGAAATTTTGATGTTAGTGGAAATTGTTAATTTATCACGCAGCCTATATCTCAAATTATTTACCCATATGATTAACACATCCACTACAGACTGAAGAGTTAGTGAAGTTGGGTGATGGTGGAACAACACTAAGCTGTGCTCCCATATATCTATCAGGAATGACATGTTAGAGTTCCTGTCTTTTATATAGAAGAGACGGTTAGTACAGTAGAATGTGTCCCAACAGCAGACGCCGCCTTCAAGCGCTGCTGGTACGGGCGTTTTCCCGCCTTCCGTGATGCTTTGGGTGAAGGCTGGCACTTGAAGGTACAAGGCTTAACACATCTGTGGGCTCTATCACCATAGTTAAGATGGTACCAACATAGCATGGGTCGGTGAGCGCGAGTAGCAGAATGAGAGCGTCGCCGTATCTTAATGAGTTTTTTTTTATCCTCTGCTCTGGTAAGGTGCTGTACTTGAATGGAAAGCCTCTCGAGTTCCTGTTTCAGCTGTTATCTGTTGCGGACTGGTGATTGTGTTTAAATTGATCAGAAGGAATTTCGAGGCTGTGTTCTACAACATTCGTCCACAACAATTATTTAGAACAAATACTTGGAACAAATTATGCAAATAAAGTTGAAAACAAGACAAAAGTTGAATGCATAACAATATAACATTATACAATTTATACAGTGGGTTTAAGATTTGATGGATAAATGAGGATTAGTGTATTTAATTGTGTATTGTGTTGTTGTGAATGTTTGGGTGCGTTTGCAGGTATTGATTAGATTTGTTCACAGAATTAAACTGTTCGTTTGATCAATGTACAAAAATGTTCGGTGTTGAGGCCGAATCGTTAGTGTATGTACGTAAGTGTATTTATACAAATGTTCAAAGTTGTTCAGAGTTGCGCACCTTTATCTGCTTGAGAAAAAATAAATTGTTAGTTTCTGATACTTGTTACGTAGTGAGAAATATCACTTTTAAAGTATAGCAAGTGAAGTTTGAGAAATTGTTCTAGGGAGAGATAGAGTGTGTTTGTGGATTGTTGAGTCAGAGAATATTTTTTGCGCGGCAAAGTCTGAGTTTTGACTGGCGTGGAGTTGATGGGCTTCTCTCTAGGTGAAAAGGTCTGACTGCTGAATTGGATTGAAATTCATCCTTTTATTTAGTTTGGGAAACCAAAGTAGGCTCCCAGTGTCCTGGCGGGAAAACAGATTTTTGAACATGGATACACATTCTAGGGTCGTCTCGACCAATAACAAACCGAGTTTCATAATGTGTGGTGTTGATTGGTCAAAGCCAATTCTTATAGAAGAGTCTATTTTTAACGGGGGTGAGTAGACAAACATTGACGATTCTATAAGTCCACGCTGCTGATGGTGGATACGTCGTTAATTTTGTCAGCGGTCTCAGAAGTCCTCGAGAGATCCAAGTCATGGGGTAGCGTAGCCAGAATCTGTGATGTGTATGGCGGTAGCTTATCCAGCCAAAGCTTGCGGAATAGTGATTCCGACATAGAGTTCTTCCCTAATAGATTCTTCATACGTCTAACTAAGCAACTGCGACGGGCGGCTATCTCCGAGCTGTATAGTATTCGTGCAACCTGCGGTCATGCGATTTCCCAGTACGGTAGATGATGGCTTCCTTTATCAAAGGGGTTATGAGCGGGAACGGCTTCCAAAAGGTCCAGCACGTCAGCAGCGATCTCTGGTGGCAGCTTCTCGACAATGTACGCGTAACGCGCAGTCTGAGAGTGAATGTGCTTTGCTTGGAATATGGCTTCGGTCTGGGCGAACCACACGTTTATATTAGTCATGTCAAAAGTTGGGAGGGTCAGCACGACGGCTGTCTCTTGTGCAGACTGATCAGCCATTACGAATAAACACGTGGTGTACTGCTGTTTCGGCGCGAAGTAGTATCTCTCAATAAATTGGATCGGTGAGGAGTCGTCCAAATGTGGTTGGTATAAGGTTCCGAGACGTCGTAGTTACCAATGCTGTGCAGAAATTAGTTCGTACGTTCGGTTTCACCAGATGTAGGTTATGTCCAAATATATTCCGAACGAGGGAACGTCGTGGTTATGAAATGTGAAACGGAAAGTAGTTCCTACGTCGGAGTTAACAATTGTAGTGGTGCTGTAAGATATGTTGGCTAGGGTCACCGTGAAAAATATAATAGCAATCAAGAAGGAAAGCTGTGTTCTTATAAACAACACCCCACATGAAATATGCACAGAATATACGAAAGAAATAAATCAAGCTCAATGAACATTAATAAAATATTGTATTAACAATGCTATACAAATATCAACAATAAGTATAAAAAAGTTGCTCCCCTTTTTCTGTAATAAAAAGGGTAAATGCAGCTAATTAAATGTTAAATTAATGTTGAGTACAATATTGAATGTTATTTATCTATAAAGTTCAATTAATGTCCTAGCTCAATGAAGAATAATTCCACAGTCTGTTTGTGTGAAAAGATGTAATGTACACAAGTGAGATCAATAGAAGTTAGTAAGATTACTCGAATGAGTAAACAACTAAGAATTAAAATGAGCGCCGTGCCGTATTTTCAGAGAATTGAACTGCTACAATATTTATTGTTGCAAATACAACAACTGCTACTGCTGTTGGCTAACAGCGAGAGAGTTTATATAGGTATGCATATATATATATATATATATATATATATATATATATATATATATATATATATATCCGGCTAACTAAAACGTCAAAGCAAATTATGAAGGATTCTAAGTGTTGTAATTTAATGTCTAATAAACAAGAAAGTGAGTAAATGTTGTTGTTGACTTTTTATAATGTAATTATTATTCATATTATTTTAGTTTGAGATTAATTTATATATATTATATATTTTAATAATAGAAGGTTATCAATTTATCTGTTTTTTAATTATTTTAATTTAATATCGGCTTGGAAAAGGATTATATAGTCAGTAGTCACGCATGTTAGATTGGAAAAAGAGTAGTTCTTTTAAGAACGGAGATATTTGAAAAAATCGGCGGTGCAGATTTATTTTCTGGCAAGATTCGATAGGGGCACTCTCAAGAATTTTCCGTCTAAGTTACTTTCTCTCCTAACAAGTGTGACATTTTTAGATCGAATTTGTGGTTGAATTTATTTCTATGTATAACTAATGCATTTGCTAAATTACTGTGTATATGATCATTTTTTGTGTGTGTTCAAAAATGCAAGAAATCGAAAATAGGAGAAAAAAAAGTTTATAGTAGTTGTTGCTTCATAGTTTCAGCCCAAGGAAAGGACTGGTTTACCACCGAACACGATGTAATCGCTATAAAATAGGCCATAACTAAATTTGATTACTTCCTCTTCAGCCGCTCTTTTGTCTTCTTCACTGACCATCGGTCACTAATATATCTGGACCAGCGCGAATTTAACAGAGCTAAAATACGACGATGGCAGGAAGAAATCTCTTGATATAAAATTCGTCCTGGAATACGTCGAAGACGAATCGAAGGTCTGGGCTGACATGCTTAGTCGAAGACATGGTCAAAAATGGACAAACCCACACCTGCTGGCAAAACATTCAAACTCAAAGGCTCCAACCTATATATTTATGTCCAGCCTTGGTGCCTTGGCGAAATTAAAGGCGCACAAAACCCCAAATCATACACACACGCGCGTGCGCGCGCGCGCACCACACATAACACCGGATGCCACACACAGGCAGCTGAAACGTTCTTCGCTTATCACGCAAATATCCCCACCGAGAGTATTATTGATCATCTCAATATCGCAGCTGAACAGGTATCCGACGAGATGCTATAAAAAATCACCAAGGCCCTTCAGGCGGTTGATTTAAACGAGGCACCTGAAGCCAACTGCCAACACAATGGACAATCGTGTTACAATCTTCCAAAATCACCTCCAACAATTTTATTTAGAGCCCAGCATCTCGTCTTGATGATCAGGGTTAGTCAAAACACATCCAAGCCGGTCGTGCCTTGCAAATTCCGTGCTAGATATCTATATCAAACACATGACAGTACGAACCACTCTGGTGTCTCTCATATGCGCGAGCATCTTTCCAGTTACTGGTGGGAGTTCAAGAACCGCAACATAAAGGCTTACGCCAATTCCTGCACTACCTACGTAAAACGCAAGGGAAACTATGTCAAGCGCCCAAACTGACCCATCGATTATTGTAGACTATACGAAGTCGTTTACACAGACTTCATCACAATGTCCATCTCCAAAGGCAAACGATACATCCTCACAATTCTGGTCAACTTCAGTCGCTATCACACGGCCAACATATTTTCCTACGCCACCGGGAAATACCCCGCATTATTTCCGACAGTGGAACCCATGTCTGCAGACATTTTTGTAAACTAATGTCGATTACACGGGTACTTCACTGTCTCTGGAGACCACAGGACTCGGGTAACATCGAGCGACAACATATCACAATGAAAAATGCTACTTGAATGTTGTGCATAGACGGGAATTGTGGATGGACCGATTTCTTCGAATCCGGAGTCTCCTCCATGAATGCCACAGTCACCAGCACAACCGGCACATCACCACACTGTATTGTGGAATCGTCCACATTTGCCAGTTATACCCCATTGGAAAATGCACTCTTCCTCTTTGGTAATCACCACCACTTTATATAAACACAGTACATAGACAAGCATTCATTGGTTAACCTACTCAAAACTAGATCGCTGATTGGTTAGTTCCGATCAATCTGATATCCTGCACGCGAGGAATGAAATTTCCCGCGTTTTCGTTCTGAGACTCCCACGTGATACACAATCTTATAAAAACAAAACACGTGTAAGCTTTCATTCATCTTTCTCCTTGCTGCCAAGATATAATCTTCAAGAACTCCCGTCTTGACCATGCAGTCAGACGTTAAACACCATTACCAACATTCACGCAAGTACGAACTCTGAAATCTCTTCTGAACTTTTACCAGCTTTACAACTCACAATTCCAAACATGCTAAAGGAACTTTATTCTTCTAAACTACAGCTTAATAATTACTTTCACTTTATGAGCTCAAGTACAAATATTTCCAAATCTAAGAGACATAACTCCATCAGACCTTCAGCTTATATGCATGTACACCGAACACCAATAAATTCAATTGTTATGTTTTGAAATCATTACGTCCAGTTTTGTATTTTATACTATGTGCTATTTACGTCAAATATAAATTGCATTGCGTCCACGCATTGTCCTTAATCCCACCTTTCCTAGCCAAAGTTAAATATTGGTAACACTGTCGCTACAGTATCATTACCCTAATATAGTTACACAGACATCAATAACGACGACCCTGGATCTTAACCATGTAGATAACTACTCTGCTTAGACAAGTTTGCCAACGCGTCGCCATTGCAAACAACGATGAACGAAAATTTAAACCGACTCCGTCTACATAGACTCGATACAGGTCAGAAGCAAGGTTATACTCCATCGATTTCAATCATCCACAGTCCACTGATCACATTTACCTTGGATGGATAACTTTGAAGTCACTAAGACGAATGATATGGTACTTCATGTGAGAAACGAAAATAGCGAAACCGACAGGGTTCAAAGTGCTCATGTCTCTCCCTTCGTACCATGTTTGAATCGTCTGCAGTACATGACCGTCATCTCCCCGCCTTCAGAATCCTCAACCAGCATTGAAGTCGCTAACTCCACTTCCCGTGAAAGAACATATAAAGACTCCAAATCTAGTGAAACATTTCCTAAAAATACTGCAAAACAAATTCCAAAAATGCAAACACGTTTTATTTATTCACTTTTGCAACCATAAGCGGTTTATAACACAAGCTACCGTGTGTAAATAAACGTTATTTTCTTTGTTCGTCTTGTTACGAGGTCAGGGGTGGTGGCATGTGTTGAACAAAAACGAAGTGTTGAGAAAACATACAAAACAGGATGCTGGAACTTAAAAAAATTCCTTGTGCGCCGTATTCAATGATATATATATATATATATATATATATATATATATATATATATATATATATATATAAGGTGTTTGCATAAATAATTACGGTTTTGAACCATGAAGCCATATATTTCAGCTTAGAATAAAATTTCTTAATTAGACCAAGAACCATCAGCCTATGTGCTGTGTTGTTGCCAACAATAAATTGATTTAATTCTGGAACCTATGAACTTTTTGAAGATGTTTTGAACTTTAGTTTAGCTGTTGAAAACAATCTCCTGCAGGAAATTGTCTAAATACTTGAGTGATAGTCGGTAGGGGAGTGGTCTGGTGAGTAGGCTGGAGGAGATAGTTTCATGGCCCAGTTCATTTAATTTCTGTGTTCTGGTGTTGCCGTGGAGAAGTGGTTCTTTTCGATTGGCCAATGTTGGACGTAAACACTGCAATTCTTGGTGACTTTTGTTGATTTCCTGGTAATATTTTTTCCACTGATGGTTTTGCCAGGATTCAAGCAGTCAACAAGAGTATATAGGTTCGCCTATCGTCTGGTTCACACTCCTACCCGGTCTTTTAAACAGGAATAGAAGTTTATCCTCATTTCCTATTTAGGATTGGGGTTTCGATTCCTTCTAAAGTTTGCTTCAGCTCTGTACCCCTAACGTTTGTCCCTTCTTACGCTAATATAAGCCACATATATAAGCTACCTTGAGTGACTCCTAGGCCTTCTCTATTGGATGAACATTAGTAAACATAAAGAAGAAATGTTTTGGTTGATTACACTTACTGGCTATCAAAGAGTGATCATAACTTCTTTTAGTTGTAGCTTCAGCTTATGGAAGGGTTCATCTCGGTTCAACCATTTCACGGAACATTGTCAGATGTTAAATAAAATCACTTTTACATTACATATCACAATGTAAT